GCTTCTGAGGCTTTGCTCTGGCAAAGCCTCAGAAGCGCGGGAACCCGCCCGGTGCCCCTGGTCTGCTGGAGACGGTCTCCAGCAGACCAGGGGCACCGGAGCAGCTTATGAACGGGGCTCTCTCGCCCCGGAGCTTGCAGGTAGCAATCCGCTACCTCGACCTCCGGGGCGAGAAAGCCCCGTTCGTAAGTGCGGATCCGACATAAGTCGGATCCGCGTAAGTCGGGGACTGCCTGTATAGACCAATTCCACATTCTCTCACTTGTTACTCCAGTTGAACTCATTAAGAGTTTTAAGTGCTCAAAAACAAAGGAAATACTCCCAAAATTTCCACTGAAGATGTTCCTACCAGATTATGAAAGTGCTAAAATCAAATAGTAATCATGCCTGACCCTTTATAGTTGCCAAAAAGGACTATTGTCTCACCTTGCTCATGCTTTCCATGCCTCCTGCCACCACAATGCTCGAATCTCCTGTCAGTATGGACTGAGCCCCCAAGCATACTGCTTTTAGGCCTGAACCACATATCATCTGACAGCTCCAAGCTGGTACTGCATATGGGATTCCTGCAGCAACACTGGCTTGTCGTACAGGATTCTGACCAGCGCCTGCGAGAATATACAGAGCTGAACAGATGCAGAGGTAAATAGGCCAACATACACATTCTGTACCTCTCAGTGACAACAAGATGCCCCCCATGTTTATAGTTCATTCCCAGTGACAAATGGCAGGTAAGAGGGGTTAGCTAATTGAGCTCCGACAGGGGCAGAGGGAAAACTGCAATAAGGTAATTACCAGCACTTTCTGCAAATGGGACAAGTCATAGAAATTCTTCTGCTTTCTGACACCAGAAGGTTTTGTTCACATAAATTCCACGGCTAGAAATTCTTCCTAAGTGGAATTTTGTATTTACCTAAAGTAGTGTGATTACCTCAGCTAAGTTTAAAAAAAAAAAAAAACCCTCAACACACACAACTTTGTTTGAGCAATAACACATCCCTCACAACACTCTTAAGAGTTTGTTATAAGGCTCCTGATTAGGGATGTAAGCAACTAGCCAACTATCCAGTAAGCAAAAGCTTATCGGATAGTTGAGTAGTGACTCAACTAGTCACTCCCCCCCCAGCCAGCAGAGCAAGGGGTGGGGGGGAGCTGGTGGTTGGGGGAGCCAGCTTAAAAGCTGGTTCCCCTTAGTACGGTCTCTGGGGGGCAGGGGAGACAGAGGTATAGTGGGGAAATGGCAAGAGCAGGGACTGAAACAGGGGCTCCTGCTACATTTCAAAGGCTTGAAGCACCACAGTGGGAACACGGGGAAAGCAAGGACTGTTTCAGTCCCCGCTCACCCCGAACTCCCTGCGGCACCTCCCCCTGCTGCTTCTATGAGAGGCAAAAAGTGGGGGGAAAACCAGGACCCTGTGCTGGGGGAAGTTGGCTTAAAAGCCGGTTCCCCGCAGTACCGTCCCTGGATGATAGACAGGGGCTGCTTCGCAGCAACCTTCCCTGTAGGGGTCCCTGTGGAGAGCTGAGCCCCCTGTGGACAGGGCTATCTGCTGTGAACAGGGTCTACTGGTCTCAGCATGAGCCGGGTGCACCTCTACATTTTAAATGTAGTAAGAGCTTGGTGGCTCTTACTACATTTAAAATGCAGAGCCGCAGCAGGGGAGGCTCAAGCCAGCTCCTGGAGCTATCCCCACTGCAGCTCTGCAGAGCAGTCCTACTGACTAATCATATAGTCGACACAAATTGTATCAACTATACAATTAACTAGGTAACGGCAATTTAATATCCTTACTCCTGATGCAGTCGTTTTGCAATTCTCTTTGAAGAGCTCAGAGCAGAGCAGACAAAAAAAAACAACAACAACAACTATATTCTACAGTGTGCTTCTGCCATCTGTGTCAGAGAGAGCTTTATCTACACTACAGACAAAAGAGACAGGGGAACAAACTGCAATTCAGAACAGTCAGGAACTTTCCTGTATTTGATTACCAGATTATAATTTTGGATATGTCAGTTTTGTTGTTATTAGCAAAGACAGGTAAAAGCTTTGTAAAAAATACATACTGCCACAATTTGCTGAAAAACAAATCATATTTACAACCTTTTTCATTGGTTACAGATTTCAGACAAATATGTGACATAACTAAAATAGTGCTTTTCTAAAACTAAACAGACATTGGCCAAATATTAGCATATACTCCTTAGGAAACAGATACAACTCAAGCATATAGCAACAGTCATAAAAGCTTTCATTCTTTGCTCTGTAACCTTTGATGGAGAAAACTGTATTACATAAAGCATTCAAGTCTCCAGGCCAAAGCAAGTGCCTACTATTTTGTACAAAACTCACTAATAAAAGAAAAGCGTGCATACCATTCAGTGAACTACAGAATACAGGGGACAAAGAATTGAGCCAATAGATAAAAACTTATGTGGTAAAATTTATATTTCAAATAACTCAAAGACATATTAAAGTGGTCTTCTGCTTTATCAGCTGCATTTCTACCTGATCAAAATAATCTGAAATTTCTCTTTATGGGATCTTAATCTAAGGATTATTTTTAGAGCATCACAAGTGCATACACTGCATTACAGACAGATACAATGCAGCTCTTTGCTCTGAGGAGTTTCCAATTGAAGAAAAAAAATAATCGCACTTACCATGGCAAGCAATGATTAACAAGAGACAAGGGGGGCATGAGAGGTTGGTTGGTTACAACAGTAAAAGGTCACAGTCTGTGATTAATGTTACATACGCTCTTTGTTAATTCCTCTTTGGATTAAAAGAAAAGTAAATTAGATAGCTACAGCTTTATACATGGTGTTCAGAATGAGGGCTGAGGTAAAGCTGGGAACCGATTTCTTCAATCCTTAACTGCCAACAGTGTTAAGAATAGTATTGATTAACATGACATTTTAAAATTAACCTATTTCAATGGAAGAATAAAATAGGGGCATGAATGTATAGTAGGGATGTAAACAACTAGTCGACTATCCGATAAGAATAAGTTTATGGGAAAGTCGACTAGTGATGGGACTAGTCGCCCCTCCCACCCCCACTCCCACTTGCTCTATGGGTATGTCTAAACTATGGGTTTTTTTTTCCAAAAGTGAAAGTAGTCTGGACATGTTTTTTCTGGGGAAAAAAACCCTTTTTTGAAAAACCGCATAAACCTCCTTTTTTTAGGAAGAGCATTTTTTTCCGAAAAAGGAGTTTTTTTCCGGAAAAAAACACAGACTACTTTCACTTTAGAAAATGCGATAGGAAGATTATATGCAAATTCAATGCTAATTTGCATATCTCCTTTCGGGAAAAAAAACCCTGCAGTTTAGACGTACCCTATCAGAGAGGCAGCAAGGATAGGGGAGCAGGAGCTGGGGGAGTCCCCCGCTGGCCCCATGCTCCCTGCGGAGCTTCCACTTTTGAACTGTAGCAAGAGCTTGGCAGGGCTCTTGCTACATTTCAAAGATGTAGGCACTCTTATTGACTAATCGAATAGTCAATGGAAATCCCACTGACTATTTGATTAGTTAATGAATATAAATGTAACATCCCTAATGTATAGCAGAGAACAAATCCCAACAAATATCATTATAATATTCCACTAGATCAAGACTGGGTGAAATATAGCCTGTGGGCCAGATCCAGCCCGCGGATGCAGCAGGGAGCCCCAGGCAGATTCCTCTGTTTGCCCTGCACACTGCTCAGAAAAACGGCTGCCGGGCCATTTCTCTTTCAAAACTGTGATGCCAGAGGGGAGGGGGGCAAGACTTCAGGCACTGCCCCCAGCCCCAGCACAATCCCATTGACAGGTTTCTGGCCAGAAACTGGCCACTGGGAGCTGCTCATTTGAATAACAGGCAGCCCACAAAGCACCATGACCCCCTTCCCTCCAGCTCAGTTATTGACACAAGCATGTGGCCCTGTAGCCTTTGCAGGCTCAAGGCAGGCTGGCTGAGAAACGCTGTAAACTCTGCAAGCATTTAGCTCCGCAGACAGGCAGGCTGGTTGGGCTGCTGGCTGGTAAGTCTCCTGGCCAAAACTTACCTCTGGCACCCTAGCTCCTCCCTTCCTCAAGAGCCTGTCTCTGGCACCCCAACCATTTGCCCCCCTTTACCCCAGATAACCCAAACCCTCTGCCCCAATTCCTCCACCCATATCTCCTCCCAGATCCTGCACTCCAATTCCCTGCCCTAGGTCACATCTGCCTCCTTCACCCAAACATCCTCCCAGACCCCACTCTCCCTCCTGTACCTCAATCCCTTACCCCAAGCTCCCTTCTGCACCCAACCTCCATCCCAGACTTCGCACCCTCTCCATTAATATCATGGAAGAGTGCAGCACTCAATCACTTTCCAAAATCTTGGAGTGCCCCCCCATCAATAATCACTGCCCACCTCTGCACTAGATAATATCTCATTGTAAAACTAAAGAAAAAAATCTGTCTTGTCATTTGTAAATGGAACTTTTCGTACAAGTGCTGAAGAATTAAATTAACAAAACTACCTGCTGTCAAGACTTGTCCAAATATAACTTCAGATACTTCTTCCGGATTGACATTTGCCCTCTGCAGTACTTCTTTAATGACAATAGAGCCCAGTTCATGGGCATGAATTGTGGACAAGGCACCATTAAAGGAACCTATATGAAAAAAAAACAAACAATTTGATTTTTATGTTTTTTTAACCCTGTGATTCCAAAAGAGATTCTGAGGATGAATTGCCCAAGATTTCACTATACAACTTACGAGGGAGAGGGTCAGGGAGGAGAGAGAATTAGTTTTTGTATTCAGGATTCATTTTACTCCTTCTCAAGTCAAAGTCAATGACTGGAGAAAAGAACACAGGAAATAAAACATCTAGTTCACACTGATCATCAGAGTAGCACATTAGACAAGACCAGATCAGCTAAATTTTAAGATACAGTACATCAGCAGAAATTGACTTGTAAAAGGTCCTTTCTAAACCCATGATTAGTTCTGCTTCCTACTCTTTAAAGTACTGAAGTGCTATAGTCTGACTACTCTGCCATTTGTTTAGTTAATTCTTTGAGGGAGAGCTGAAGGTGTGTGGGGGGGGAGAGGGGGCAGGAGTAAGATTTTAGCAATATCATTTCCACTGAATACTGCGTCTTGGGGAAAAAGGGAATACGATTTCCATTCTGGAAACAAAAAACAAACAAAAAAAGCGGCTTCTGGGATCCCCATTTGATCTAGCTAAAAAAAATTCAGGAGAAGCTTAAAATGTAACTATATGACCTAATACCAGCTAACCGTATGACACTCTTCCAGGCTTCCATTTCTTACTGTGTCCTAAAAATTAGGGATGTTAAATTGTGGTAAATTGAATAATCGATAGGGCATCTCTGCCTTTGAAGGGTAGAAAAAGCCCTACAGTTGTTGCTACACTCTGTAAATTGAATAATCGATAGGGCACCTCTGCCTTTGAAGGGTAGGTAAAGTCCTACGGTTGTTGCTACACTCTAAAAGTGAAAGCGCCACATGGAGCCTGGGGTCAGCTGGGGATTCCCCACTGACCCCAGGCTCCATGCAGTGCTGTTGCTTTGAAACACCACCGCAGGAGCCCGGCATCTAGAGCCCCAAGTGGCACTGATGCTTTGAAGTACCCCCTTCTATCTGCTCCCCTTGCTGTCTCTTTCTGATAGAGGCAGCAAAGGGGGTGGGGAGTGACTTAGTCGACAAGCTTGTTGATATCCATTAAGCATTTGCTTATCAGATAAATCGACTACTCCTTCACATCCCTACTAAAAATTCCACATACACTCACCCTGACTAGTTCTATTTGGGGATTGCAGTCTACTTTCTTTATATTATTTCATCACTCTCCCCAAAAAGGTGATAGTCTAATAGAGTATCACTTTTCCCATCAGTACCATGGAGGGAAAAGAATATTCTCTCAAAAAACTACTTATGAACAACTAGCTGGAGTTACCCGGCGTTGCTCGGGAAACCGGAGGAACAAAATGTAGAAAAACAGTAGTACATTATCTTTTTATGAATGGTAGAAAAGTTGCACTGATTCTACAGGGATTAAAATATAGGTCCACGTCATCCTCGGAGGGGACAGGCTGAGACCCCGGGTGGAGGGGAGGTTACACACGGGAGGGGCGCCCCAGCTTGTGCCTGGGGCTGCAGGTGCCGTGGGAGACAGGGAGTGTGCCTGAGCCATTGTGCGCGTGGGGGTCGGGGCACTACATGCCAGTGCAGGAGGGGAGAAAGAGGGTCGCTTATGTAACCTCGTGGGTAGGAGGGGGCAAGTCCTGGACAGCGTTGGGGGTCACAGGCAGTGGGCACGGGACCTAGGGTGGGTGGGGCAGCCCCTGCAGTGCAGCGTGGCCGGTTACTTTTTGATTTTTTACAACTTGAGCTCCGGCCCAATTGGGTCCAAAAGTACCTTCTCCTGGATTAAAGATTATCCCATGGGAAGTTTGTTTGCGGTAGCTCTTATAGTGTCCAACTTATTAGAGCACAAACATACAAACATTCTCCTTTGTATATTAGATATAATGATACAAGAGTCAGGGAGAACACAAAATCATCATAAATAGTTATGAACTAATCTTCAGACATAATCTGGTCAGACCAGATACACTTTACCTCAGTTTACAATATCTTAAACCAGAGCTGGGGTACCTACAACCCATGGGCTTCATCCTGCCCATTGTTAAATTTCATCCATTCCTGCAGGCCCCTCTCACTCCACCCTTCCACGGGGCTAGAGCCACAACTATCAGTTCACCTTGCTGCAAGGAAGAAAGCCCTTAGCCTCAGTGCAGAGGCACAGGAACTGTGGGTGTGAAGGGTGCTGCAGCACCCCACATTCTGCATGGGATTCCCAGGTACTAGCCAGCAAGCAGCAGCCTGGCTACTGCCAGACACCAGCCCAGGGCTCTGCTCCTGCCCCACATGTGGGGTCATGGTTGCTGCTGCTAGATCCCCACCCAGGTCTCTGCCTTCAGTTCTGCATACAGGGTCCCAGCTACCTCCAGATCTCCACCTGGGGCTCTGCTCCTGGCCTGCAGGAGAGTCCCTGGCTGCAGTGCCTTGTGAGTGGAGCAGGGCAAGCCCCAGTGTTCCAACCTTGCTCCCTAGCTGGAGTACCAGGTAGGCAGTGAAGCAAGCCCCACTCTCCCATCTGGCCCTCGGCAGGCTGAGTAGGTGGGAGCATCAGAGTACCTATTTTTCTGGGGTTCCCATGTTGGCCCTGTGGCTAATATGCTACTGGAAGGAGGGCAAGAGGGCAATTGGTTGTGGTAGAGGTGATCTGAGCTGGGCCTAGCATGGGCTGGTGGGACTCGGAAGGGAGTTGGGAACCATGCATGCTTGAGAGCTGTATCTCCTCTAGGAGTTGGATACAAGGTTGTGGCCAGAGGATCCATTCATCACTCCCCACAAGCTGGAGGGGCTTGAGGGAAACAGGGCCCCCATCTCTCCTAGCCTCCCAATCCCCCTGTAATTGCCCACCCTCACAAAGTTGAGGCCCACCCAAATATCCCATATTGGCTATGCCACTGGTGCCAGGTAAAAAGTTTGTGGAAAACTGTTCCAGCAACACAGCCTCCGTGCCACCTTCTTCCCCAAGGATGAGTGCCCTCTCCCTCTCACTGCAAGAGAAGAAAGCTTAGAGGCTCTGCCCCTCCCACCATGAGTGAGTACCCCTTGATTTTTTGGATGGGCAGGGTCGATGGCCTGTGACAGAAAAAAGGCTCCCCATTTCTGGCTTAAACAAATAGCATGGGGAGACCTACCATGCTAAGATTAGCCTGAAACATGCATAAATAAAACTCTCCAAGCAAAACGGACTATAAAAGGAGGATAAAAATCAACATCTATCCCCACTCAGATATT